CATCTGGTGGCTTGCTTTCTCACTTTCCCTTTCTCTGTCTCTCTCTGGTCAAATTAAAAAATAATAACAAATGGAATTAAATAAATGAATGAATAACTCTTTAAAAAAAAAATCCTGAGAGAATAGAGGAGAAGGGACTGTGGTGTAACCATTACCCTGGTGGGTGACTTCTTCCTTTCTGTCTCTGTCTTGCACACATGCCCTATAAGAAAAAAATTTCTCTCTTAAAAAAAAAATACATATATATATTTTATATATATATATTTTTTTCTTTTTTTTGGGGGGGCCAGCAGGTGGTATAGTGCTTAAGGGCACTGGACTCCCACATAGTAGACCGTGGTTTGAGTTCCAGACCTGGCGGCATGGTTTTTCACTTTACCTCGCTCTCTCTCTTCCCCTCTGTCCCTCTAAATAAATAAATTAAATTAAATAATCATTAAAAAATTATTTTCTGGGACTGGCAGGTGGCATGGTGGTTAAGGGCACTGGACCCCCACATGGCTGACTATGGTTTGAGTCCTGGACCTGGAAGCTTGCTTTCTTAACTTCTCTTCCTCTCTCTAATCAAATTAAAAATAAATAAATAAAGTTAAATAAAATAATTCTTTTTAAAAATTACCTTTCTTATTTAATATTTTAATTTGACAAGAGAGAGAGAGAGAAAACAAAGCAAGCCACCAGACCCAAGACTCGAACCATGGTCGACCATGTGGAATCTAGCACCTTAACCACCATATACCTGCTAGACCCTTTCCTTTGCATTTTAAAACAATGTGGCTAATAGTTATTTCAAAGCAAAACCTCTGTATGTTTACTTACTATTACATACATAAACACATGGGTTTGAGGGCTGGCAGAATTGCATCACTTTGCTAGCCTACTTGGGAGTAGTTATGTTCCAGTGACTAGAACTAGATCTGAAAAATTCTCTCTCAGTGGGAAACTGCCCTTCCCAGACCTTTGGTCACACGAGCCAGCTGTCACTTTGGGTGACGGAGAAGACCTGCCAATGACTGCACGCATGGCCTGTGTGAGGTGAGAAGGGGGAAGACTGGGATGCTCAGGCTTACCTTAAGCAGTGCAGGCACCCTTAGACTCTGCACACCAATGACCTCCACTGTCCCCACCTGTTCTACCCCAGGGAAGGGGCTCCTGAGGGGAGCTAAATGAAGAAAATACTCTATTGATTCAGATCAAATTGTACCTCCAAACACACACAGAGGGTAAAGGCATAGAAGAAAATCTGGGCTCTGTTCCCCACACCCCTGCTGTGGAAGTGGTCTGTTGTCAAGGCCTCCCAGGACAAGAGGGCTCAGCACCAATCTCCAGAGTTGGCCTGTAGCATCAGTCTCCAGTCCTACCCACAGATCATTGAGTCCAGCCTCTGGTTCAATATCCTCCTCGCACTCTCCTTGGCTTTCCCCTTGCCACCAGGAAGGACAGGGCCTGCCAGGCAGGCCAGGGTCTCGGGTGGCTCATGAGAAGCGAGGGTCCTTTTGTTTCCAGTTGACTCTAGCTCTTTGCCAACAATTCCCTGCCTCTGGGCTCAAGGAGCCAGCCCTGGCTTCTGGCACAGGTTGAACTAAAAGCAGAGGACCCTCTATTCCCTATGAGTGTGTGATGCAAGTGTGCTGGGCATGCGACCCTAAATCACAGGCCTGCAGGACCCTGCCACCAAGGTCAGGAACAAGCAAGGGCAGCATAGCTGGTTGCTACTGGAGCACACCAGTGTCTCAGTTTTAGCCCAAATCCTGCTCCAGTTTAGGAAGGGTTAGAAACCCCTGGTCCACTGTGTACCCTCTCAATTGCACACCACACAGTCAATAAGTTATTTTGTAACACATCTTATTCAACATGTGGCTGGGGCCAGATGCTAACTTCATCTCGTCTTGAGCTGAAGTGTGGGTGACAATGGTCACAGCACTGCCTGCCCTGCTAGCTCAGCATGTACCAGCGGGTAGCCAGCTGGTAAGTAGTTTAAAACCGTAAAACCAAGACACTGCCTTCCACACAGCCAGGCTTGCCAACTGCCAGTACTAAGCCTTGGAGTGCCCCGATGATGGTAGCCATACACCCACATCCAAGCACGTTTCGTGCGACTCACCAGTATGAGGTTAAATCGGTCACTTGCCAGAGCGGAAGGATCTGAGCTCTGAATCTGGACCCTCTGTCTTTGCATGCAGCTCAGTCGCAGTTCCTGGGCTAACCTGCAGAGGGCAATGCGGGGAGGGCATGAGTGCACTGGGGTGTCCACCCTTGCCCTTCTCCAGCTCTCCCATTCAGCCCTCCTCACGTGACTCTTCAGCAAGGAAGTACAGCAAAATCCCTGGTCATCTGAATTTTAGTTCCCCACAAAAGGCTTAGGAAAACTAAAACAAAGACTGGGTGGCCCCTTCACAGAAGGTTAGGACCGGAGGGACTCATTCCACATCATCTGGTACAACTCATTCTCTTGAGAATGTGCCTGCAGATGAACAATGGCACATGGCGGCTGAGAGCCCAGGGATGCAGTCACCCACCTGCTGCCCCTGCCCCTCTGCCACAGCACGGCTGCCTCTCCCTCTCCCCTAAGAACACAGCATATCTCAGCGTGGAGGACAGATCTTTCTACCTAGATCTTTAATTCTTTCCTCCTCAGAAGGAAGGAAATAGAGGAGCACCCTGCCCTGCTGGATAGCCACCGCAGGGCTAGTCTCCCTGAGGAGCACTGCCCCACACTGAGGGCTGTACCCGCCTGTAAGCCACTTCAGCTGCACGTGTTTCCTCACCTGTCCCCTGCACAGTGGGAGGCAGAACACAGGGCCTATAAGCTCAGCTGCCGGAGTCAGACAGATCCCACCTTTACCTCGAGCAGATCATGCCACTCTGAGCCTCAGTCTCTTCATAGGAAATGGGGGCAAGTATCAACCTAATCTCACACAGTTTTAGTGAGGATTACAGCAGACACCATATGTATCTTGGTAAAGGTTAATGCACATATCCATCTAATTCCCACCTCCTGATTTTAGTTTGCTATAGGGTGCATGTGCTTGCTGGGAGGAGGGCAGGCAGGGAGAAAGTGAGGAATCATCCCCCAGTAGGAATGGCCACACCTCAATCCCTTGTCTTGGGATTTTGGGCATGCACACATACATGCCTGGTGTGAGGTTTAAGCCACCAGGTCTGAGACTCAAGTAGGTGGGAGTCCAGCAATATAACCATTATGCCATCTGCTGGCCCCCTCTCTTGGGGTTTTAAGCACATGCGCCCGGTGTGTTTTTCAAGTCGCAGAGTCCAGGTCTCAAACTGCACCGTCAGCCACGTGGAAATGAGTCACCTTAAATGCTATGCCACATGGCTGGCCCTAATGTCGTTTTCAGCAAAAGCTAAGACAGTGAAGAGTAGGAGGGAAAATCTCATGGAATAAAGATGTAGAGCTTTCTACTGAAGTGTCAGTTTACAAATAACACAGTAATTTCTGCCTAAATCCCCACCCCCACCACTCATTAGAGTTTTTCAGGGCTGGCCAGAGCAGCTGAGGCAGCTGTGAACCAGAGTCCCTCAATTGTGAAGATTCCTCACCGAGAAGCCTACACGGCCCATCCTCACTGGATTCTTGGGCCACAGAAATAAGAAACAGGAAACGATCATTCATGAAAAACCCTAACAATGTGGTATTGTCTTACCGGCAATAATTGGTGGTGTTGAGAAAACCCAGCTGGCTCTTTTGCAGCAAAGAAGATGCATTAAATCCCATTCTGGCTACTTTCTAAGTTTAAAAAAAATAAAGAAAAAGAAAAAAGAATTCAATAAAGATTTTATATATCTGAAAATACCCTATGGAGAGGATTTTGAATGTTCGCAACACGAAATAATGTTGCTGTAGATGAGGAATAGGCTAACTACCCTGATTTGATCACTACATGTTGTTATAGTCACATACTAAAAAAAGAAACCACCGTACCCACAGTATGTACAGTTAATACGTGTCAATAAAAAAATTAATAGACATGTATGTTACAGAACGAAGAATGTTTTTAGTTCCATAGGATGCAAGGAAGGAAGCAGGTGCCAAATTGGCAGGAAATATATGCATAAAGACTGGACAGTGTCCTCCACAAGTCTCCTCTCCTTGGCCCGCGGGAGAGCCCAGCACCAGAATGGTATGAGCTGGAAAGTCTGCTCAGCACCGTGGTCCAAGCCCCCGTCAATTTACTCCTGGGGAGACAAAGCCATCAGGCCAGTGAGTATGGCAATGGGATTGGACATTCAAGACTGTGTGTACTCTCTGCTTGGCCTATGGTGACCCCAAGGCCTGGGGGTTCCATTCCACAGTCCCCACAACCAACAACACATCCTGGCACCTAAATCTGTCTTTAAGTTGCCTTGCCACTCACTCTATACCTCGCCTACTGGTTTTCTATTTCCAGTACCCAGTTAATGAAATGACATCATGCTGCCTTCCCAGGATTCCCTCCGGGGAAGGACAAAATGTCAGAACTACTCATGAAGCCTGGAAAATGGGGGAGGAGGGGTGAAGACTTCTGGTTATTCTTATTCTCATCATTTTCCTGCCATGGGAAATCTAGGGCCACACACCCTGAAGCACACACCTATGCTAAGTGTCCCCAGTGGCTAGCTGCTGGCAGGAGCAGAGGGGACAGGTGGCTCGGGGACAGGAAGCCCACCTTTTTCTGCCTGTCTTCGTCCTCTAGCAGCTTCAGTCGTTTGCTCTCCATCTCCTTCTGTTGGATGCTCTCCCTTGTCAGAGGGTTGCAGTTGTTATGTCCAGGGAGCAGGCGGAAGTAGCGCTTCTTTTCAGGGTCGAAGTAAAACCCTGGTAGATCTGTAGCCAACAAAAATTAAACTCACTATTTTGGAACACTGCAAAGTATGCCCCCTAGTCAGGAGCCTAGTGGCCTTCCCATCGCCAATGCAGAGGTCTTTTGGGAGGACCAGGAATTGCCAGTCACTACCCTGGGCTGAGCTCTTTCCTGGGAAGTCTACTGGTCTCCAGTTTGCTGTTTCTGACAGAACCAGGTCCTCTTGTTATGTTTCAAATCGCTCCTAGAAGTCTCTCCAATCCAGGAATGGGCTAGGGATACCCACCCAAAGGGTCACACACAGACACACATGTGAGACCTGGCTGAGAAGAGAGAGCACCCAGAACAGACATGACCTGGCAGGGCTGGGTTCCCCTTTCCCCATAGTGGGACCAGAGAGGTCCTCTCCAGCGACTCCCTTACCTGGTGCAGAAGAGCTCCCAGCTGCACTGGACGACGTTGATGGGGCCTCATCATCTCTCTGGGCAGAGTCCTGTGGGCTCTGTGCTGTCCCTGGGTTGTGCCTGTCAACAGAGTTGTGGGAACTTTCAGCAGAGGGCCTGGGTTCCAGTCATCCTGACTGGGGGATGGGCCAAGTCCTATTCAGGCAGTCCTACAGCCTTGACCCGTGACCCGCTCACCTTTCTAGTTACTTAGGGGAGCACTTGTCTCACTATGAATAAATCAAAAGGAGCCAAGGTTTTGGCTTCTTGATCTTTTTTTCATTAAAAGAGGATACATGTCAATCATTCCTCTTCTCATCTCATCTGAGCATTTTGTGAGGTCTTTTGGAATTTTTCAGATAAGGGGGAGAACAGAAATCCCTGCGAATGAGAATTTACCAGCTGGGCTCATCTGTCAGCTCTGCAGCAGTTACAAGGCCAGGTGAATTTCATTCTTTGCTGGCTTCAGTAGTACAAAGCACTGAAAATTTCCTTGGCCACGCAAACTTACACATGGAGAAACAGACTCCGAAAACAGAGGTTAACATGCTCATCAGTGCCGGGGTAGAGCCCTCCTTAAACCACTTGATTTGCAAAGCCACAGGCGATTTCTGGGGCAATTGCAGACTGAAGAATGCAATGAAAAGGCACAAGACTTTGTTTTAGAACCCTGCTACAATTCACTTTAAAATCAAGAACTCTCCTTCTTGCCCCCCACGGAAAGGAATAAACTACAAAACGAGGTTAAGGAATTTTTTTTTTCCTTCTTTTATAAATACCAATGCTATACATAGTGTCAGGGAAAATCAGTTCTTCCCCTTTCTAGGGCCCAGAGTTTTTTGAAGTAGCTCATCTGGGATCAACAGGAGGAAGGATTAAATGGTGTGACAAATGTCTGTGTGTGTTGTCCAAGAACTGCTGCTCTGTCCTTTCTGCACGGACCCCGAAGATGGCTGGCTGTCCGGAAGGTTTCCACACCACCCTGCCGAGGCCAAGGTGTGACTCTCTTCTTGCACAGATCACATTTTGCTACACATTGTGCTCTTAAGGGAAGGACAAGGGCCCAAAAAGTATCCATAGTTCTCCTTACAACGTCCACAAACAGGGGCCAGCATGTGGTGTGGTGGTGGAGGGCACTTAACTCCCACCTGGCCAATCGTGGTCTGAGTCCTGAACTTGGCAACTCGCTTTATCACTTTCTCTCTCACATACTCTGTCCCTCAGTAAAATTTAAATAAATTAATTAATTTAAAAAATTATTCTTAAAGAATTTAAAAACATGCACACACATACATACACATTGTGCACTGTCCTGACCTTTCAACATGGGTCAAGTTTCAGAAATGACTTACCACGTAACAAAGGCCTACTCGGGCCAGGCAGCCCATCAGGGGCTTTTACACACATCACCTACCTCACAAGGTTATCAGCCTGTTTGGCAAAAAAGCACAGTGATTGGATGCAATTAAGTAAACTGCCCAGTTTGATGTAGGAAAGCAGGGTGTCTAACACAGACTTCGTAATTTTGGTTGTTGTTGTTATAGGGTACATGTGCTTGTAGGGGGTGAGTGTCAAGGTCTGGAAAATGAACCATGCAGTCGGCCACTATGCCACCAGCTGGCCCAGACTTCCTATTTGTAAAGCCCTTATCCCTTCCATAACTTCTAGGCCCTTTTTATTACTGTTTGGGTTAATTTTGTTCTATAGCAGCACTGAATGGTGATGATGCAGACATGTAATACCGGCTAACTGGGAGGCTGGGCCACAAGACTGCAACTGCAAAACCCTGCCAGAAAATCACTCACTCACTCTCTCTCTCTGCCTCTCCAGGCCTGGCATGTTTAGGTTAGACCAGGAACTGAAGCTGGACCCTTCACATGGCCCCAGACTTATGCAGCAGTGCCTGACTGCTTGTGCCAGTGCAGCTGGGCCTGGGTGAGCATCTAGATATGCGACATCTTGATGGTCTAGAGTGTGGAAAAGTCTGGAAATCGACATTTGTGTCCCCTCTGCTGAGATGGAAGCTTCAATGGAGGCTGCACAGACTTCTTATAGCTAGACGTCACCAGCCCTAAACCATAAAAAAGTGTTCTCTGGCCCAGCAGATGGTGTAATGGTTACGTCACTGGACTACTTGACCGCAGTTTGAGTCCCGGACGTGGCAGGGGTGGTTGTGCATGTGTGTGTGCCCAAAAGCCTGAGAGAGGCATGGAGGAAAAAGGGAATGGGGGTGGGGTGGGGTGGCCATCCTCCACCCCTGGGGGTGATTTCTCACTTTCTGTCCCTCTGTCTCTGTCTCTCCAAAGAACGCAGGCCCTATCACAAAAATCTCTTAAAAAAAAAAAAAAGTGTTCTCTCCCAGGGTTGGATGCGGATGGGGAGAGTACATGAATGCTATGGCAAAAATCTGAACAACAGCAAAAAAAGCAGACTCTCCTCAAGCCCCACCTGAGACTTACGTCGTCAGAATCTGCATTTTGACCGAAGCCCCTATGATTCACACGCACCTGAGTGTGAGCTGCACCGTGCTGACAATGCCAGAACGGCCCTGGGCAAAAGCTGGCCACCCAGCCTCAGCACACTTGCCTCTCATCAGAATCGTGCTGTCTGAACCAGCGGTTCTGCTGATGGCTTCTTCTCCCAAGCCTTCTCCTACTTTGCCAGTCGCTTGTATTCATCTCCATTCCTAAAAGAAAATTACGTACATATGTGTGTGCAGGCTTTCTGTTTGCTTCCCGACAGTCCTTCCAGGCCCAACCTGGGTTACCTCTCCTGGCCACCACACCAAGCCTTAGCACTTTCTGTGAAACTGTCTCTACCCCATCTCATACTAGATGTGATGTGTGTTCTTCAAGGCAGAGGTCTCGGCCTATTCTTTTTTGTTCCTACCACCCATGACCTAGTTGGCTCTCTGTAAATTTTTGCTGAAGCACGAGAAAACAGAACAAGAATATCAAATCTACTATTTTAAATCCCAGGTAGCTTCCTTCTACTCTGGGTATTTCCATTTAATAGTTCACACTATTTACAGAGCAGCGGGCCCACTCCTGTGCTGGCTACACCCTGGGGAGTGGGCAGAGCCATGTCCACGGTCTCCAGGCACTTGCTATTCAGTAAGAAGACACACAGACCAATTCCTGCAGTGTGCAAGAATAAGGGTGAAGACCCATATCTTCCCAGATGGATGTCTCCAGGTGGAGCAGGAGAAAAGCCTGCCTGCTCTGTGTGGACAGGGTAGGAAAGAGGGAGGTGGGATGGAAACAAATCCTAAAAATGAGCGCGCAGGCATGGCTGTGGGTTAAGGGGCCTGCAAGCGATTCAGTATGGTGAGAGTTGAGGGATGAGGCTAGACAGGCAGGCAGGACAGGATCATGATGACTCAGGGTGCTGAGGATGACATGATCAGACCTGCTTGCAAAGGCACCTTAAAGCAGCTACACAGGGAGTAAGGAGAAGGTTAAGGGCTGTCACAGCGACCCGCAAACTGGAAGTGGCACTGGGAATAGAGACCGATTTGGAAAGACTTAGCAGGTGAGTTTTTTGGGAGAGGTGGAGAGATAGAATGAACTGAGAAAGAGAGCTGAGGATGGATAGGGATGTGTCCCAGCTGGGAGAGCAGAAATAAGGTTCGAAGAAGAGCAGTCTAGGGGAGGAAGAATGCGAGCCTATTTTGAACAAACCAATTCCAAAATGCAGGCAGCTGGAAACAAGGGTCTGTGCATTCAGAAGGAACTGAAGCTAAATACATAGATTTGAAAAGTCTTCAGCACATGGTGCCAAAGTAAGACAAACGTGGCTCCAAAGCTAAAAAATATACAGTGAGAACTCAAATTCAAAATTAGAGACAATTTTATCTGAAAATAGGAAATCTAGCACATGTCATGATTCCTAAACCAGCACTTCTTAACCAACAATTCTGCCCACCAGGGGACCTTTCTTGCTTGTCATCATTTCGGGTGGGCTGCTACTGGCACCTAGTGGGTAAAAGCCAGGGATGCTCACGATGCACAGGACAACTTTTAATAAAATAGCACTGGGTCAGCTCTGCAGCCTTGTGGTTAAGAAGCAGGCCAATCCCACATGGCTGACCACACAGTTCAAGTTCTAGACGAGGCACACTAGGTATGTGTGCGTGCCAAAAGCCTGAAAGGACGGAGATGGAGGAGAGGGGACAGCAGTGTAACCACTGGGGGTACAGGGTGAGGGAGGGAGGGAGGGGGGTGCTTTCTTCTCTCCCTCCCTTTACACAGAGGGCCCAAAATAGTATTGAGGTTGAGAAACCCTATTCAAAATAGGTGCTTGGGGCCGGCAGGTGGTAATGGTGGTTAAAGGTGCTGTATTGTCACATAGACGACCACGGTTCAAGTCCCAGACCTGGCAGCTTTCTCTCTCTGGTCAAATTAAATAACAACAGCAACAATAACGAGTGGAATTAAATAAGCCTCAAAATAGGAGGTGCTTGACAGCAATCGGCTGGACAAAATGCTGCATCCTGCAGCTCTGGAGCTGGTCTGTGGGGTAGGCATTAAACAGATGTGTTGCTGGGGCCAGCAGGTGGTGTAGTCCCAGACCTGGCAGTTTGAAACTGACACCAGGCATGTTTATGTGCGCGCCCCAAATCCCAGAAGAATAGAGGAGAAGAGACTGGGGCATGGCCACTCCCCTAGGGGGTGATTTCTCTCGTTCCCATTCATTGTCTCTGTCTTTCTCCAGCAAGCATACCTCTATGGCAAAAACCTTACAAAACAAACAAAAAAAACAGATGTGTGGCACAAGGCTGAGCTTGGCTTTGCCTTTCAGAAACTTTTAAAAAATACTTGAAAATGAAAAGAATAATTTCTTTAAAAATTGTTTATTTTATTATTATTTTTTAAATAATAATATATGGAGAGATGTGGGGGTGAGTGAGAAAGTAAGCACCAGGTCTGGGACTCAAACCGTGGTTGGGCACGTGGGAGGTCCAGCACCTTAACTACCACGTCACTTGACAGCACCAAGAAGAACAATTTCGAAGAGACTACTGCTGTGGAAAGACATAATATTCATCTCAAACAGCAAATAAACATAGTTTGACTTTATGGAAACTGGGCAATATCACACAACTTATAAATGTGTATAACTTCCTTCTTTTGGGACTAGATCATGATAATACAAAACACTATCAAAGTCGTATAGGAGGGGCCATCAGGTGGCATTGTGGTTAAGATGCTGAACTCCCACGTGGCCAACCACGGTTAAAGTCCCAGACCTGGCAGCTTGCCTTCTTGGCCCACCCCCCGTCAAGTTTAATAATAATAATAAATAAATAAATAAGTAAAAAGTCACGTAGGAGTTTTTTTTTTTTAGAGGTTTTTCACTATAGGGCGCATGGCTCGCCAGAAAGGCAGAGACAGACAGATAGAAAGCAAGAAATCACCCCCGTAGGGGAAGAGGCCACGCTGCAATCTCTTCTCCTCCATTCTCCTCTTAGGATCTTGGGCACGCACGTACATGCGCCCGGTGTGAGTTTAAGCCACCAGGTCCGGGACTCGAACCATGGTCAACTACATCAGAGTCCACCGACACAGTCATTATGCTAACTGCTGGTCCCCGTATAGGAGAAATTTACTACAACTTTCCAAATCTTTTTTTCCCCTGTTTTTTGGGGAGGTTTTGCTATAGGGCGTGTGTGCTCGTCAGAAAGACAGAGGGAGAAATCACCCCCCAGGGGGGATGGCTATGCTGTAATCTCTTCTCCTCCATTCTCCTCTTAGGATCTTGGGCACGCACGTACATGCGCCCGGTATGAGTTTAAGCCACCAGGTTCAGGACTTGAACCACAGTCGACTACATGGGAGTCCAGTGACATAGCCATTACATTAAATGCTGGTCCCACTTTCCAAATCATTTTATAAGCCAGTATTAATCTAACACCAAAACCAGACAAAGACATCAGAATAAAACTTTAGATTAATATGACTTACAGGGCCGGCCAGAGGTCTGATGGTTATGTGAGCTGGATCCCACATAGACAAACAGTGACCGCACAAAGTCCTGGAAATAGCAGCTTGAAAAACAATGTGGACTTGGGACCAGCAGCTGGCGTAATGGCTATGATGCTGGACTCCCATATGTAGGCAACCGCAGTTCT